AATAAATACATATATTTTAAAAGGACTGAAAAATGAATGGCCATTATGCACCCACCAGATAAACATGAAAAAAATATAAACTATTGGCAAGAATGTGAAGTACCTGGAATTCATAAACTACTGATGGGAGTGTAAATTAGTTCAACTACTTTTGGAAACATCTCAGTATTTTCTAGTACAGTTGAATTAATATATATATATGTATATATATATATATTCTCTATTTATTCTCTCTCCTTCTCTCTCTCTCTCTCTCTCTATATATATATATATATTTATTTATCCTGTCACCCAGCAATTCCACTGTGTTGTAAACCTAGAGAAGTACATGCACATATACATATACTTGTATATATATCCCATTGTAATGGCCGAAAACAATCCACATATCCTCAATAATAAAATGGACAAATAATTTGCAGTATGTACATACAAAGGAATTCTATACACTAGTGAAAATGAAAGGACTACAGTTGCATGCAATGAATGAATTTTAGGAATAATGATGAGCCAAAGAAGGCAAACAAAAAAATGCATAGGACACAAAGACATGAACCATAAAATAATTGATAAATTGGATTTTATCAAAATAAAAATCTTCTCTTCACCATTAAAACATGACAAGTTTGGTCACAGGCCAGGAGATATACATATTTGCAATACATAATCTGACAAAGGACTTGTACCCAGAATATATAAATAATGCTTACAACACAATAAGACAAACAACCCAATTTTTAAAAATTAGGCAAGAGACTTGAGCAGACACTTCAACAAAGAAGATACAAATGACCAATATAAACTGTGAATAGATGTTCAACATTATTAGTCATTGAGGAAATGTAAATTGAAACCACACTGAGATACCACCTCACACAACTAGAATGGAAAAGACTGACCTTACTGCATGTTGATAAAGACGTGGAGCAATTTGAACTCTCATACACTGTTAGTGGGAATGGAAAATGGTACAACCACTTTGAGAAAGAGTTTGACAGTTTTTTATCAAGTTAAACACAAACTTACCACGTACTTCCCCGCGAGCCCACTCCTAGTTATGTACCCAAGAGAAATGGAAACATCCGTCCACCCAAAGATTTGTACACAACTATTCATAGCAGCTTGAATCACAAATGCACCCAGTGTTCATCAACTGTTGGGTGGATAAACAAACGTGGTATAACCATACAATGGGATACTTGTTTTGCAATAAAGGGAAAATCTCCTGACATATTATTGACAACAAAATGAATCTCAAGAACGTGATGCCGAGCAAAAGAAGCCCGATTCAAAAGAGTACTTTTTGTATCATTCTATGTACACATAAAAGTAAAAAACTAACCTCTAGTGACAGAAAGCAGACCAGTGGTTGCCTCAGGGTGGGACGGGGGAGGAATTGACTACCCACAGTCACAAGGGACTACTTTAGGTGATGGAAATGTTCCATATCTAGACAATACTGGTCAAACTGCATATGTAAAATGGGTAAATTTTGTTGTATATAGATTATATCTGATTAAATCTGATTTAAAAACAAAACAAAAGATATCTGTACACCTCTGTTCATAGCAGCTTTATTCACAATAGGCAAAAAGTGGAAGCCACCCAAGTGTCCACTGATGGGTGAATGGATAAACAAGTGTGTTAGGTACATACAACGTGATATTGTTCAGCCTTAAAAAGGAAGAGAATTTTGACATGGTACAATAAGGATAAAACTTGATGACATTATGCAAGGTGAAATCAGCCAGATGCAAAAGGATGAATATGGTATGATTCCACCCCTATGAGGAACCTAGAGTCGTCCAATTCATAGAAACAGAGTAGAATGGAGACCAGCAAGGGCTGGGAGGAGGGGGGAATGGGGAGTTAGTGTTTAGTGAGTGCCGAATTTCAGTTTGGTAAGATGACAAGGTTCTGGAGATGGATGGTGGGGATGGCTTCACAACAGCGTGAGTGTACTTGATGCCACCGTAAAATTAAAATGCTTAACGTGGTAAAATTATGTTCTATATGTTATTACAACTTAAAAAAAGAGAGAGCGAGAAAGGAAAGAACCAACAAAGGAGAGCTGGGACCAATTTTTTCTTCCTAGCTCTTCTGAGAGATTGCCCTGATGGCAGGTCTGGGGCTGTCTCGGGGACCCATGTGCCAGCAGGAAGGTGGGTCTGCCAGCCGGCAGAGCAGTGCTGAATGACTGATGGGAGAAGAGCTGGGAAGCCGTCGACAGGCTCACAGGAAGGGTAAATACAGAACAACGAGAAAGAAAGAGAGCCGTCTTGACCAGCTTCACACCGGCACCGACATGAGTCCTTCCTCAAGGTCCTGCCAGGAGATGACTGAGACTCCAGGAGACAGGTGCAGGGAAAACCCAGAGCAACCAAAGAAGAGCCTAAGAATGCTGGGCTTCATAGCAATTAACTAGTAATTAATAGTAAGACATCCTCACATTAAAGAATTAAAACTGAATGAAAGGATATGCAGACAATGAGAAGCTAAACCCCTTCCTCCTTGCCAGTTCCTTGTTCCCTTCCCTGAGGGCAGTCTAGTTAAGAATTCCCTTGTGTCTTTCCAGACATTTTCTCTGTGTGGCTCTCTCGAATAGCTCTACTCCCTTGTTTTATTACCCAGGCGAAAGCCTCCCATCAGTGCTGTTCTTCATCATCCTTGTATCTCACTTGCTGTATCTTGGGGAGCTTGTATGCATATTGCACTACCTGGGGTGGCCTCCTTCTTTTTAAGGGCTGCATAGTTTTCCACTGTGTGGCCACATTTCGTCATGCGTCTGGACTAACTCATACCACTTTTCACTTTTTCCTGTGTCCTCTAGGTTTTTCCTGCTCAGTGGGCCAGCTGGAGTGTGGGTGCCCAGTGCCACCGAGATACCCTCCACCGGGGCCGTGCCTGAGGTAGGCTAGGGAGGCCCCTGAGTATGACCGGAGTGACCTCTGCAGGTGAAATCGCTCACGTTCTCTGGCCCCGAAAACTGCCCTACCCTTCACTTTGCTTTCCTTCTGCTCCTTCTCACTTGTGTTTTTCCTCTTGTTGCTTTGCTCTTTTTTTCACCCTACTCTGCTGCCTGCTCCCTTTCCTCTGAAATGCCTTTGAGGAGGTGGCTGGCTTCCCACAACCTCCACCTGGCCTGGCCTGGACTCCTGTCCTCGCTCAGGGCTGCCTGGTCACTCCAGGGTGCCTTTCACTTTGCGCCCTTTCAACCTATGTTGAAAGGTTAAACAGAATGCTCCGCAGCTTAAGTTCAGACACATTTGAAACTCTTCATGCTGAAATATGGATCTCTGTGGATGTCTGCATTTGGTCTTAGTAGATGGGAAATGATTTTAAATGTGCACAACTTCACGGAATCTGAGAATATTTGAGGTGGAAGGGAGTTTGCAGAGCATCTTGTTTTAGAGATGAGGATGCTGAAGCCCGGAGAGGGTAGGGGGTTCTCCTGTGGTTGCCCAACCTGATTGTCATTGTGAGGCCATGTGTGATCGTGTGTACGGAGATATGTCTCGTTCATTCACTCAACAAATATGGACTGAGTTTTATGCCGGCACTGGATTAGGCTGAAGGCCTAGCAGTGACGGGACGAGAGAGACCCAATGAGCTGCGCTCCCACTTGCTGAGGCTCAGGGAGTCACAGAGCTGATCCCTGGGCAGTGTGATGAGAAAACAGCCATTTTGAGAGCCGCCTTGGCATTTGACAGTATGACAACTTTGCAAACACGCAGAGTCTGGACATTTTTTTTAAGATTTTACTTATTTTGGAGAGGGACAGAGACAGCACGAGCAGGGTGAGGAGCAGAGGGGAAGGGGGAGGGAGGGGAGAGAATCCCACGCAGGGGACTCCCCAACCTGGGAGACCATGACCTGAGCTGAAACCAAGAGTCCAACAGTTAACTCTCGGCAGGCCCCGAGAGTCTGGGCATTTAGATAGGAACCTGGACTTAGGATTCTCACCCCAGGTTCCCCCTTTGCTTTTCTGGGGGCACCTTTACAATGACCACTCAGAGTGAGTCCATGAAAAGTTAGTGACTTTCGCCCCAACGCCCTCATTAAGTAGTAGGTGTTTGCTTCCCTGCTCTCCATCCCCTGCTTGCTGCTGACCTGGGGCGGAGGACTGGCCTTCCCGCTGTAAGTGGCCCACGCACCCCGCCCGGTTTCTGGGATGCGTAGGTCATTAATCTGTGACTTGACTTCCTTTGTGAGTGAATTGGAACTGTGCCTTCAATCCAAACAAGCCCAGGGTTCTCCCTTCCCCAAAGTGGGAGCTCAGATACTGTGGGGGTAGCTCGTGCCCCCTCAGTCAATGGTTCATAATCTGCATGTTCTTAATTTAATACACCAGCTCTAGGCCCCCATCAGAGGGGTCACTGGCTCTCCCTTGGGACGGCGCCCTGACAGCCGGGGCAGGATGCTCCTGTCTGCTCATTCACTGGCAAGGGCTCATGGCGGATCCTTTCCCTCCCTGACCCTCCCCTGTGCCCGGCCATTTCAGCGCCTTTGTCCAGGCCCTCCCGCAACCTGTGTGGCTCTCTGTTTCAGGCAGCACCTTGCACTGGGACACCTGGCGAGATGCACTTCAGCTGAGCCCAAAGTGCCTGGCGGCCCTCAAACCAAGACAGCCCCTCGGCTGCATCCAGAGGTCTGTCTCCTCCCTTGAGCATCACTGTCTCTAGAACTGCCAGCCCAGGCTGTTTCAGGGAAACCTGGCCTTCTCTCCTGGCACCCCTGGGTGGCCTTGGGCAAGTCGTAATCCCCCCTTGCCTCAGTTTCCTCCCTGGCAGGATGAGGAAGGGAGGATCGTAGAGGTGCCCTTTGGCTCTGACATCCCGTGATTCCATCAGGGGTTCTGGAGGCCGCCCTCCTTCATGACTTTGAGGTCCTGATGGATGAGGGGGACTGTCTCTGAACTCTTGAAATCCCATTCTGTGATTGCCTCTCCCCTGGGTCACAGGTGAAATCGGAGGAAGCTGTGACGGACACCAAGTTGGGAGCAGAGGCACGTGTCACCGGTTTCCCTCCCTGGACTCCTCCACACGACCCTGCATCACTGCGCTGCCGCCCTGCCCTTACACAAGCCGTTGATCCCAACACTGGGGGCCCGGAGTAGCCATTTAGAAATTCTAGGGGGAATAAATGAAAAGGTTAAGAGAAGGCCTTTACACAAAAAACGCCGGGACAGCTATATCCAACTCAATGCTCGAACACAGCGCTCGAACTAGTACTGTACGAATGAAAATGTCTTAAGTCTAGCCATGTGGAAAGCACCAGAGGAAAGCCATTATTAAGGACATGCACACTGAATCCTTAAAAAGAAAATAATTTTTTTTTAAAAAGGATCTTTGAGGGGCACCTGGGTGGCTCAGTCTGTTGAGCGTCTGCCTTCGGCTCAGGTCATGATCCCAGGGTTCTGGGATCAAGTCTCACATTAGGCTCCCTGCTCAGCGAGGAGTCTGCTTCTCATTCTCTCTTTCTCTCTCTCTCTCTCTCCCCCTCCCCATCACTTGTTCTCTCGCTCTCTCAAATAAATAAATAAAATCTTAAAAAAAAAAAGATCTTTTAGCAAAGAAATCATCCTTCCCTTTGTGCCCCCCTCCTTTTATTTGATGTTTTGGCATCTTCAACTTCTTGTACTTTGAGTCTTCATAAAGCAGGGCCCACAATTACAGAAAATTCACTGAAGGGAAAAAAAAGAGCTGCATTTATGCCTCTCAGAGTGTGTTTTTAAATACCAAACAGAAGGGCAAGAGGGAAAAAAAATTACATGCTTTCTGGTTCCAAAAAGGGGTTAAGAAACGAAAAGGCTTCTTACAGTTGGATTGAGGGAAAAGGTACGAGGGAGAAAACAATCTGCTAATAAATGAGCAAACGCTTGTCATGAATGATGATGACAAATGTTTTAGATGATGAGTCCATTTTCAAAGCTCATTTAAAAATCTTTAATAAAAATAATCAAAGAAAGAAATACGAGCACCAGGATGCTCTGGAGGCCTTGCAAACACAGCTGTGGCTTTAATGCATTAAATGTAGATTAATGATGTATATTAACTGTATCGTCTTAGTGGAGCGCCTGCTGTATGCCGGGCTCTGGGAGAGGTGCTGCGGACAATGCAGTGAACAAAACAGACAAAAGCTTCTGCCTTCGCGGGGCTTACACTCTAGTGGGGGCGACAGAGGAGAATACAGTACATCGTGACGACACATCGTGTGACAGATAGTGATGAAGGCTGGTGAGAAAAATACGAACAGGAATAGGGAGAAATGAAGTGTGTGGGGCGGGGGTGGGGGGTGGGATTTTAGGTAAAATGGTTAGGGAAGACTGTTCCAGGCTGAATTTCACCCTACCCCTCCATTCATATGTTGAGATTTTAACCCTCAGCACTTCAGAGTGTGACTGTATGTGGAGATTGGGTCTTTAAGAGCTAAGTGAGTTACAGTGAGATAATTAGGGTAGGTCCTGATCCCATAGGATTGGTGACCTTGCAGAAGAAGAGATTAGGGCACAGGCAGAGGGAAGACCACAGGAGGACTTGGGGAGAAGATGGGCATCCACAAGCCCAGGAGACAGGCCTCTGAAGAAGCCAGCCCTGCAGACATCTTATTCTCGGATTTCCAGCCTCCAGAACTGTGAGAAAATAAATTTCTGTTGTTGGAGTCCCCCAGTCTTGGTGCTTTGATACGGCAGCCCGAGCAAGCTAACACAAAGACCTCACCGAAAAAGAAACTTGTGAGTAGAGATCGGAAGCGAGCAAGGGGATGAGCTAAGCAGGTGGGTGTTAGGGGATGAGGTGGACAGCAGGTGCAGAAGCCCCGAGGCAGCGATGTGCCCTGCATGTCTGGAACAGAGTAGTGGGAGGTCAGGGAGGGGACCTGGTGTGTGGGGAAGCGGTGGGGGTGGGGGGGCAGCGTTGGCTTTTCCTTCGAGATGAAAACCGTTGGAGGGTTTTGAACAGAGAAGTCTGACATGGTCTGACCTATGTTTTGACAGAAGCATCCTGGCTGCTGACTTGAGATGTCAGACAAGGAAGCAGGGAAACCAGCAGAGAGACTGTTCGTCACCTCAGATGAGTACCAGCGGTGACTTGAACAAGGATGAGACAGAGAGGCTTGTAAAACGTGGTTCCATTCCAAATGTATTTTGAAGGCAGAGCCGGTAAGAACGGCTGACAAGTCACACGTGGAATGGTATAGAAAGAGGAATCAAGAGCACTCCAGTGTTTTTGTTCTGAGCATCTAGGGGAATGGAGTTGCCATTATGTGGGACAGTCAAGCCTGTGGGAGGAGTGGGGAGTGGGGTGACGGCAGGGACTCGGCGCTGGGCATGTTGGAAGCTGCTGGGTGTAGGGCAGCCTGTTAGAAATCCAAAAGGAGACGATGCTTCCATAGCTGGACACCGGACCTGCATTCAGGAGACAGTGCAGCCTGAAGAAGTATGTGTGGGAGCCATCGGTAGACCCATGGAGCCAAACCCACGAGATCAAGTGGGCACCAGAGTGTGGGCAGAGAGAGAAGGGTGGTCCATGGAGAGAGCCCGGGGCTGCCAATAGACAAAGGCAGAGAGGTGAGAGAGAGGGCATCCAGAAAGGTCGGGGGGAAGCTGGGTGGCAGGTGCCCCGGGAGCCGGTAGGTGCCCCGAGAGCAGAGGGCATTCCGAGCTTGCGGAGGCGGGAGCGATCCGCTGTGTGGAATACCGCTGCTGGGCCATATCAGGTGGGACAGAGAGTGCTCTGGAACAGGAGTGGGGGGTGGGCTGGGGTAAAGATCTGGAAGGCAAAGGGGAGAGGAGCTGCTAACAGCAAAGGCTGTAAATTGGTTCAAGGTATGTGGGAAAACTGCAAAGATTTTAAAATAGGGTTGGGGCCCTATTTTGAATCAGGAGATTTGACCACAAATGGCCTGCAGC